GAATTGTCTGTCCTCGATGGAATTGCTGATTGCGATCCATTTCTAACTGTTCTCGATCAGTGTAGCTTTTCTTTTAAAAGGATGGGGAATATCCACAATGTCAAGGGCCTATATGGTTTCAGCTATCTTTCGAGTACGTGGTGACATTTTGTGGAAAAGATCTCTATTGTAGGAAGCTTCTGCTAAATCAGCAAAGTGTACGCAGCTGCAAGCGATCGAATTCAGATTTTGTTTGATGCCACATTAAGATATTTATGGTGCTGCACTCAACTAAAGAAAAACAAGAGTTGTGGATGGAGGTTGCTTTTTGATGCTCGCTTACCCATTGACGCCTCCGCCTTGTGCCATTTGTAGAGTTGTAGTCTCCAATAATCTGCCAAATCAGTCTTAATGGTAGCTTGTAGAAAATAAGAACTGCCCTAACAGCAGCATTCTCTCAACTTAAAGGCAAACTCCGGGGTGAGACCGGTGTGTAAGAGCCCACCGGTAACGAATGAGCTGCAAAGAACTGAAAGTGGAAAAGAAAGCAAGAGAAGCCATCGGAAACGCTAAAATTAAGGCCTTGACCTCCAGTAAGGTCGGATGTAGTACGACGGCGAGACAAGGCGATCAAAGAAGACAAAACACGCGAGAGAGCACGCCGTTCGAGAGAGCGCGCTGATCTCCACATCGATGCGGTCGGGGAAGCGTTGCAATAAGGGCCGATGGTTGCAGCCCGTTAACGACTAGACACTAAAAGTTCCCTCGCGGTATCCTTCATAATACTGAGGCGAATCCCGGGCTTGCCTTTAAGTGGATCCTTATTCACAGCTCAGAACCATTTCCTGATGGCTTGGGCGTGTATCTCGCGCTGTAGAAGCTCTGGATGTTGCTAGTGTACACGTACTGACCACCGTAAAATCACCAAGAAGCTTCTGAGATTGTATGTTATCACCCCTAGGGGAAGGGGATAACTGGTGGTTCTTCATGTAGTACCTAATTTCGTGACAGGCAACACCGTGACACATACATCCACATACACATGCTCACATACACATACACATATAACCCATACACATACAAGTACATACACAGAGTATTAGGTCGGTCCATAAGTCTTGCAACAAACTGGCTAAATTTTGAATTTAATATTTTTATTATCTTTTTGTTCCATTCATCCAGCATGCTACCCACCATCAATATCTACAACCTATTGCCAACACACTAGTAGCTGCTCGATGCCTCCCTTGTAGGACTCTACTGAATTCTGATCGAAGAAAGATCAGATGTCGATTTTGACATCATCATAGTTAGGATGAGCTTTCTTCTCTAGGAGATGGTTTGGAGAGGGGAGCAGAAGGGCATTATTTGGCACGAGGTCAGGGCTATAACGTGAATACGGAAGAACTCTCCGTCCCAGAGTCTCAAAATTTTCCTGAATTTTCTTAGCAAGAGGTGGTTCAACGGTGTCATACAAAAGCAAACTTTGCCTTGTTTTTCTTTCGTATTAAAAGCGTTGCAATCGAGCTGTGGATAGTTGACTTTCGCGTTGACTGCGACATCTACACGTAGGGGTTTCCAGAGCTTAACTCCTCTCGTGTTCCACCAAAAATCCGAGAAGGCCCTACTTGGACGAGGTTGAACTTAGCAGTAAGACTCCCGAAGCGTTTGAGCTGGACTACCGCCGCTTGTTCATTTGTTAGCACACTGTACCCACTCCTCATCTTCGGCAAATGTGATGGATGGTCAATCGTAGAATCCATAGTAAGTCGACTTGAACATAACGATGTCAGATCGTGTTTGGAGCTGAATCGGGCTCAAGGCATGTGGGGACCAAACTCTATATTTTCGGATCTTCACAAGTCTTTGGAGATGCCACAGTGCTGTCTCCTTGTCGCATCGGAATCGCTCTAGCAAATGATCGATACTCTATCCAGATCCCTTTTCAACAGCGTCAGATAGAGCATCGTGATTGTCAGTCACAGGGTGGTTGGAGTGTGGGTTATTTTCAAATAAAAAAGTCAACGCTGAGCAGAGTGAAGCGCCGTTGCACCGTGGTTTGAGAGAGCGTGCCCTCGCCCATCTTCTGGCCAATCCTTGGTCTAGCATGACTTGCGGAACATTCCAAGCAGTACTCGTAAAAATTAAGGGCACCGAGAGCCCTCTCGCGAAATCGGTGTAATATCCATAATAAGTAAGCAGACAACGAGCTGGACCGTTGGCTGAAATTGCAAAGGTTGATGCTACGTCAGGAAATATGTTGCGGATTTTCAGGAGTTCTCCCTAAAATTCTATAGCATTAAATGTAATTTGTTGCAAGACTTATGGACCGACCTAATATTAGGGATGTTACATGAGGTAAATTGGGATTTAGAGGAATTTTCATTCGAAGAATTGTACTACTCATAGGACAATCTAATAAATAGGAATGCCTTGGTGATGTGGGTCGAATTTGATTGAGCACATTTGAACAACTGTGATGAGAAAGTTGCTGCTGTGACCAAATTGTTTTGTCTAATTTGGTCATGGGTCGGAAATGTGTAGTGCTTCAACCACTTTTTTCAAGGAGCCCTGATGAAAGTATTGAGCGTTTCTACTTCCAGCTCTCTCTGCTTACGCGTAACAATGACTGACAAAAGCGCTAGAAGCAGTTCGGCCCGCAATTCACACCTTTGTCCGCACGCCAAACCTTCCGCGGTCAGCTGCCACGTGACGCTACGGGGGCGCCGTTGCAGCAGCGGTTGCATTTAATGTCTTGGCGCTGGAGCTACTGCAGCTCAAACGTGGAACTCGTCCAATACGCCCCTTTATCCCAACGAGAAATGCGGCTGAAATAGAGGAATTGCTTTTTGGGGCGTTATTGAAGGGTCCCCTTGCTTTTTTTTCCGAACTACCCTTCACTTCCAACTTCATTACCGAACACTTTTCCGCAATCATTTTTATTCCGAGGCTTACTTTTGAAAGATATATATGTTGGGCTTACGCGTACGAGGTACTATTTATAGTGTGATCCGTACATGCGGAACTGCAGTTGTTCAGCTTATCGAGGCCCGATGGTATGCATATGTTATGTTGTGTAATTTTACCTTAATGCTCTAAAAAGCTTAATTATCCGTAAGGTTTCCCCTAAACGCTAATTGTTTCTTTCTCATGTACCCATCAGGTGTACTGTAAGATCATGTGGTGTCTCCACTGGCTTCCTCTCACTGAAGCATACAGTGAAGCCGAATTCTTTGCCTAGGTTATGCGTTTTTAAGATGTATTAATAAGACAAGCTTGATGTACAGATGCTTGTTCAATAGTTTCAGTATTTCGAGAAACAATAATGAATATTGCTTTTTTAGCGTCATATTTCCGTCCCTAACAAGCCTTCTCTTTTGTACTGCCATAGAGTTCATTCATTTTTACATACACTTTTTTCGTAACTTGTCAAATACCTTTTTTTAATCGAAGGGCTTATTTTCAGTCTCCGATATGGATGACAGCAGTTCACGAGGATCACTATCGCAATCTGATTTCAGTATGAACTAGTATGTTTATTTCATTTCTTCTAATCTACGATTCATGTTCTTACAGTTTTTATCAAAAATGAGTCACGGTGTAGTACAGGCGTCGGGAATAGGATGAGTGTGTTGCGTTAAAATATAATTGAAGACACATAAGCTGGAAGCGTGCGAGGTAACGCAACTGGTCAACTGGCCGCTGAAACCAAGTTAGTAAGTATGTCCTTTCACGTGTAGGCTTCTGGACGTTGATGGTAGTGTTCTTGAGCGTTAACATGTGATTGGCTATTGGTTTATCATCGCGACGTCCCAAGTCCCAAGGCACAGAGCGATTGCCATATATACGGTCATGGGGACAGTAAATTGCTTCATAAACAACTTTTATCGATTGTCTACTTTTGACAGAGTTTCGATTATTCATGCTTGTCCTTTTATAATACGTATTCAACATCACTTTAGTTTCCCCCTTAATGGGAACTCGGGATTACCGTGCGGTGAACCTACGACTAGGCTTTCATGAATTCTAATCTAGGGTTGCAGTTGGAGTTGGCGGAATTTGGTTTTCCACCAGTCAGTTGTTCTTTCATTGATTTTACGGGCTTGTATCCTATGAAAGCTCATCAAATGAGTTCTTTATACTCTCACCAGTTTAGCTGCGCCCGCATTCGCGTGCATCACACGGGACTGCATTGCTAGAACAGGGCCATTGATGAACACCATGTTGAACTTCGCAAATCCTCGGTGGCGCCTATCAATAGCATTTGGCCCCATTCCTTCGCCTAACCTTTATCCACTTTTTTGGCCTCTGGCTTCTCGGAACTAAATTATAAGTTTAGGGCAAACTCCGCCCACTTTGTGCACGCCCCACCCACCAATAGCAGTTGACCTCCCTTCCGTTGACAAACTCAATCACTTTTTCCCGGTCTCCAGGACTTCTTGGAGCCGAGTTATGAATTTTCGTCGCAAACTCCGCCCGCTTTGGACCGCCCACTTTGGACATGCCCCACCCACCATTGACATTTGACCTCCACTTCCTCCGAGCTCTACTTTCCGGCTCTCTAAGACTCCTTGGAACCGAATTATGAGGACTTGTAGAAAATCGCTAGTTTGGGACACGCTGCCCCCTGTGGGCGGGCCTCCGCCCACGTCATGTATGCTGGAAACACCTTAGACATTGCTCCCCTACACCAAATTGTTTTCTGCTCTGTAGGCTTTCTCCCAACCGAGTTATCAATTTTTTATTGAGCATCGCTTTTTTTGAAGAACGAATTCGGTCTGACTTATCAGTGCACACCTACGTTTTCCCCAGTTTCGATGCTGTTTTGGTATAGTATCTTAAATCATGGTCTTCGATGCACGCCACGCCAACTGTCCGTTTAGCTGATCTGTGTTTTGTGCTTCTTGAGACCTGGGCCACCCATCCCACACTTGACCCGGTCTCTCCAGGTGGATCCCGAGAAGCTAGGGAATTTCGTGACAGACAGACACCGTGACACACACACAGACAGACAGCGCATTATATATACTGGGATGCCACATACCATCGTTTTACTTTGTGCTAACCAGTGTTCTAGCTGTGTCGATTGCTGGGAATAGCGATAGAACGAGATCTACGTTCTGAGAATGCAACTAGGCGCTGTTCGCTCTGTGTTTATCAACTCTTTTTGGATAGGGCAAGAATGTCCATCCATTTGCTACAGTGCTTAACCCTTCCCGGACCGCGCACTTTTCACGTGGCGGGCGCGTGTGGCCGGCGCCTTTTTATGCTCACCGTCGCGCGCTACTCAGCGAGCATAAACATTATATATTTAATCTATTTCCATTAAAATCAATATTGTGTCTCATTTTCCCATTAAAATCAATATTATGTCTCGTTTGTGTCTTTCTCATGTCTTAAAGTATATCTGTGGTAAATATGACAGAAAGCCGTCCTGTAATAAAAGTGATAGGGCCACAAAAGGGAGGCAGGAGTGAAAATTGTTCAAAATAAGTTGTAATGGAGGAAAAAGGGACAGAAGTGTCCGAAACTTTTGGATTCAATAGTATCAGATACGACGTGCACGAATGTCATGATTGCTTTTGTATGAATTGTTTTCAAATGAGTTATAACTGTTTTCTTTAAAGCAACAGTTCAGGAACGGTTTCGCGGGAAAAAACCACCAATAATGAAGTTGTAGATGAAAACCAGACGATTAATGTATGAAAAACTGGAAAAAAACGTCGGGGAGGGTCTTAGACAGGTACTCTCCCTCTGCCGCTCAGCAATGGATAAAGACGCACGTTGGACGAGTTGTCTGAACGTGCCCGCTGTAAACGCGCTCCATTTTTCAATCAATTTTCCCTGTGGTCCCAAAACGAGCACGATTGCCGACGCGTCCAATGACGGCCGGCAAGGGGGCGGGATTGGGGAAATCCCCAAGAACACCCATGTTTGAGGGACTTTCCACCCTGTTTTTGAGTTTCTGAGGTAAGTTCGTTTATTATTTCCACTGCATATGTTCTTCACTAGGGCTCGTGTATCCCTCAGTAGTAGTGGCATTGAAATTTTCGGACCCTCCCTGAACTGTTGCTTTAAGTTCAAAGTGGAAGTCCACTTAGTTTTTGGTTAGTTTAGGAACTATTTCGAGATTGTAGTCCAGGATTTTTCATACATACGGCATGAGTATGTTACATAGATATGTAACAACATGAAACATTTTGTAGAAAAAAAACCGAATCCTCGGAAAAATCACTCCTTGAAGTCCCTGACACCCCATGGGTGTCAGGCGGCCACAGGGAGCAAATTGGGCCTGACACCCATGGGTGTCAGGCGGTCCGGAAAAGGGTTGAATAAACCTATTGGTTATGCTCGCTCGAGGACGCGAATGTATTGTGAGGCTAGCCGAAGGTTTTTGTGAAGAGGTTGACCTTTGTACTCCACAATTTTAACATTTTGCAGTCTGGGATTCGAATGATAAATTTCAGTTAATGTCGTACTTATCTCCTTTTTATAATAAAGCCATGGTTCAGGGAGTACCACAGCTTCATAAGTCCAGAAATCTGCGGATTGAAGTCATCAATAGTATTGAAGGTTAGTCCTTGATGTGGTTTTTGAACACATGGGAAAGAGGGTGGCGATGCGACGTGAGGGCGCACTGCTTGAAGGATGTGAGCAGCGACACACCGCGGGTGTTTTTCCGTATGGTGGCGGCAAAATCACACGACTGCGGAACTAATGACTAATGCAGAACTCGGCATTGGCCATTGCCTTGGCGATGAGCAACCCTCTTCATTACATACCAAAGGAAACCCAGAAAAAAAAACTGACGGCAATTTGGCATCGTGGGATACTGCGGCAGCTAGTGCCGCGGCAATAGATGGTTTGGTGATCGACGTGCCATCGAATCGCTTTTTGTAGTAGCTGGCTAGCGTGCCAAATGACAATGCGCTCATAAGAAGGGATTTCTGAATACTGCGTTCATCTATTTCTTAGTTATTTAGTTTTTTTGCGAGGTCGTACCCACTTCCACAGCTGAAACGACAAAGATTTCACGGGGTCTGTATGTCGAAGGGTGATTGTAGTACATTCTCAATCGATAGGGCAAAACTGACTATTAGTCATAACGTTGTTTATTCATATCTATAGAAGCTTCTTTAGATATGATTAACGTGTAAATAAATAAAATATTAAATGAATACTCTTCGTATCCGGCGGTTACGGAAATCTGCACTACACACTTCACAGCAAAAGTGACGGCGGTCTTCAAGTAGATCTGGTGACCAGTAGTTTAGTTGCAGCTGATAGGTAATAAATGATAGTTGAAGTTAGTGACAATTGAGAGAATACAGGTGATTAGCCGGTTGCAGTTGTTTTTTATATTTTATCTATCCAAAGGCAGACTCCGGGATAAAATGGGTGTGTAGAAGCGCTTGATAATGAATCTGGAAGTGGCTGGTTTGGAAAAAAAAAGAAACCAAAAGACCCCTCCCCTCCGCCCCCCTCGAGTACGCTTCGAATGGAGACCTGCTCTATTTCAGCCGCATTCCACTTTTGGGATAGAGAAGGGGCGTGTTGGACGAGTTTCACGACCTAGCTCCAGTTGCTCCAGTGCCAATGACATTGAACGCAATGGCAACCACTGCCTAATTGCGCCCGCGCTTTTCTCGCAACGTCACGTGGCAGCCTACAGCGGAAGACTAAGAGTTTTTTTTTTCGAAAAATGAACCTTGAGAAACGATTAGGTGCTGGTTGGAAAAGGCAAATCCCTTTTTTCTTGCCATGCCAGATGTTTGCCACAGAGTGAAAAAGAAGGACATTTTTTCGAATAATGAATTTGAAACTAAAAGCTCAGAAGCCCACATTCGCACGAAAAAGCAAACGATGAGTTTTTAGAAGAAGTGGGCCATCACAAAATTTAAGCTACTCTTCGAAGAGAGAAATATTGGAATTTTCTGGATTTTTTTTAACAAATCTCTTCAAAAAGCCACCTGTATCACCTGTCACCTGTCGTCCCGTTGATCGTCGATTTGCTCGAGCGGGCGCCAGCAACGTCTCCATTCGTCCCTGTCGCGTGCAAGAGTGGTCCAGTGGATCCTCCTCGCTCGAGGGACACGAAGTCCTTCATTCCTTTCGTTCAGAGCTTTCGTGAAGAAGTCTGACCATCGGGCCGGCGGTCGTCCAGGTGTTCGTTTGACGTCCCGAGGGATCCAGTCGGTAACCGCTCTGGTCCAACGGTCATCGCAAAATCGCATGACGTGTCCGGCCCACCTTATCTTCGATTCCTTGGCGAAAACGGCAGCGTCCCTGATCTTCGATCGTTGGCGTAGTTCGGAACTCCGGATTCCCCTCTGCACTTGCGTGTATAGGGTTACTCCTAGCATCGTCCTCTCGACAGCGCGTTGGATAACGCTGACCGCATGCTCGTCCTGCCTGCGCAGAGTCCAAGTCTCTGAGGCGTAGGTTAGGGCAGGAAGGACAGCGGAATCGAAGAGGTGGGCACGGAGCCGGATGTTCTTCGTCTTCTTCACTACTCCCTCGATGTTCTT